CTGATGGTGGTGGTGAGGAGGAGGAGGAGGAGGAAGGAGAAGGAGGAGGAGGAGGAGTGAGGAGGAAGAGGAGGACGAAGAGTAGGAGGAGGAGGAGGAGGAGGAGGAGGAGGAGGAGGAGGAGGAGGGAGGAGGATGATGAGGAGGAGGAGGAGGACGAGGAGGACGAGGAAGAGGAGGAGGAGGAGCAGGAGGAGGAGGGGGGGGAGGTGGAGGAGGAGGGGGGAGGAGGAGGAGGAGGAGGAGGAGGAGGAGGAGGAGGAGGAGGAGGAGGAGAGCCAAGAGGGAGGAGAGGCAGGAGAGAGGAGGAGGACGAGGAGGAGGAGGAGGCGGTGGAGCATGGAGGATGTGAGCTGTTTGGAAGCGGCAGTGCTGCCTTCGTGCTTTCAGGAAGCCTCCCGAGGCCTCCCGGGGACCCTCCGCGGTGGGAGTCCAGGGGCGGGCTTTGATACTGACAGAGCTGGAGAAGGAGCACGAGGAGGACTAAGGAGGAGGGCGAGGAGGACGAAGGGGAGGAGGAAACCGAGGAGGAAGATGAGGAGGAGGAAGAGAAGGAGGAGGAGCAGGAGGGAGGAGGAGGAGGATGAGGAGGAGAGGAGGACGAGGAGGAGGAGGAGGAGGAGGGGAGGGAGGAGAGGAGGAGGAGAGGAGGAGGAGGTGGAGGAGGAGGAGAGGAGGAGGAGGAGGAGGAGGAGGAGGAGGAGGGGGAAGGGGAGGAGGAGGTGGAGGTGGAGGAGGAGGAAGGGAGGAGGAGGAGGAGGAGGAGGAGGAGGACAGGGATGAGGAAAGGGAGGAGGAAAGGGAGGAGGAAAGGGGTGAGGAACGGGAGAAGGAGGAGGAGGAGGAGGAAGAGGAGGGAGGAGGAGGAAGATGAGGGAGGAGGCGGAGGAGGAGGAGGAGGAGGTGGAGGAGGACGATGAGGAGGAGGAGGAGGAGGAGGAAAAGGAGGAGGAGGAGGTGGAGCAGGAGGAGAAGGAGGAGGAAGAGGAGGAGGCGGAGGAAGATGATGAGGAGAAGGAGGGGGTAGAGGAGGAGGAGGAGGGGAATGATTCTGACGATGATGATTATGAAGCTGATGATGATGCTAATGATGATGCTGATAATGCTAATGGCGTTGATGATGCTGAATATGATGCCGACGATTACGATGATGCTGATGATGACGATGATGCTGCTGTTGGTGATGACGTTGCTGATGTTGATGCGGATGATGAAGATAATGATACTGATGATGGTGATGCTGATGGTGCTGATGCTGATGGTGGCGATGACGCTGACGATGGCGATGATGATGCTGATGCTGTTGTTGATGGTGATGATGATGATGATGACTGTGGTGATGAAGGTGGTGGTTTTGATGATGCTGATGGTGAGGATGATTATGATGATGATGACGCTGATAATGCTGATGATGGTGATGATGTGATGAGGATGATGAGGATGAGGATGCTGATGATGCTGCTGATGATGCTGCTGCTGATGATGCTGATGATGATGCTGATGATTATGATGATTATGATGATGATGATGCTGATGCTGATGCTGATGCTGATGCTGATGCTGATGATGATGATGATGATGATGATGATGATGATGATGATGATGATGATGATGATGATGATGATGATGATGGAGGAGGAGGAGAGGAGGAGGAGGAGGAGGAGGAGGAGGAGGTGGAGAAAGAGGATGAGGATGAGGATGAGTATGAGGATGATGATGATGATGAGGAGGAGGAGGGGGGAGGATGGACAGGAGGTGGAGGAGGTGGAGCATATCAGATGGAGTAGAGCAGCAGGGCTTGTGGCAGGCATTCTACAGCCACCTGGAGCACCCATACCCGCCCATGTTCGCCGAGATGGTGGCGCGCGCGTTCCCCATCTCCTTCTCTTCCTCCTTGCGATCCGTGCGATCCTTGCCATCCTTGCCCTGCCAAGTCCCTCCATGACGAAAGACCGAGGCACGCGTTCTCCTCCGTCCTCCCTCCCCGTCCTCCGCTTCCGCCTCCTCCTCGTCTCACAGCCCTCCTGGAATTCCTAGCGTGAGCCCATGTCAGGACTCTTGCGGAAGACTGGGTCGCCTGGGACAGGATGCCCGGACGTCGATCTGTGGCCAGGGCGTGCTGCTTGGCTCCCGCCTCCTCCGCTTGCCTGCTCGTCCAGGGACCCCCACGTCCGCCTGCCCTGCCGCCCGCCATGGCCGGCGCAACGGTTCGAGGCTGCGGTGCGCTCTCTCCCCGCGGGGCTTGTTGCTCCAGGCTGTTCTGATGAGCGCGGGTGTGTGTGTGTGTGTGTTTGGATCGTGACCGTCGCTCCTCCTCGGCCGACAGACCGGACGCGCGCCTCTGTAGCGCGCGCGTGCCTAAATTCAGCTTCATGTGCAGTTAACGGGATTAGCCAGCAATGTCGCAAGATTTCGTGCAGAGTCCCTCCATCAATCGGATCATGGACGAGGGAACACATGAGTTGGGAGACCCGAGTGAGGACCATGCCTGTTTATTGTAATGCAATGTAGTTGACATTTGGCGAGTCACTGTTTGCCTGCCGAAAATGACGGAGTACTGGCAGTTGCAACGCCCCGACACGGAAACAGGATCGTGACGACCAACATCAACGAAACAACCTTCAGGGACACAGTATGAGAGGACCTCAGTTTGTGTTTTGTCACTGGCAGCCGCGCGTCGACACTTCCCCGACTGGTGGCCGCGTCGCGCCCCACGGCGCCAGAAGCGAAGTGCGCATCGGGGCCCTGCGTCGCCCGACGGGGCCGTGGTCCGCCGCGAGCATGCCGGCCACGCGGCTTTGTCTTCCCCCCCCGCCCCAAGATTTCCAGAATTTGGCTGTCGGGTTTCTCCAGCTGGGTCCCAGGGGAAGGCCAGAAGCCATCGTGCCGGCCAGAGAGACCCCCAGGGCGAAAAATCCCGCAGGCTGCGAGGTGAGCCCAATGCTTCCCGAGGAGACCGCGAAGAGGAGACCGCGACGAAGGAAACTGCATTCGAGCTACACCTGAACTGCACTTGAACTACAGTTGGAATTCACCCGCACTGGGAATGATCAGCCATGCTGCTGCGCTCCAAGGCTGTACATCGCTCCAACTACACTTGAACTGCACCTGGGCGACACCTGGACAACATTTGAAGTATACCTCAACCGCACCTGAACTACACTTGACTGGCAACTGACATACACCTGCACTAGGAATGATCCACCACGCTGCTGCGTTCCTACAGGGTACAGCGCTTCAGCTACAAGTGAACTACACCTGAAGTACACTTGAACTGCATCTGACCTGCACTCGAACTACACTTGAACTACACGCGCACTGGGGCTGGTCAGCCATGCTGCTGAAGTACACTTGATCTACACCTGAGCTACACCTGAAGAGGGAATGATCAGACATGCTGCTGCGTTCCAAGACGGTACAGCGCTTGAGCTACATTGGGTTACATTTGATTTACACCTAAACTACACTGGAATTACACTTGAGCCACACCTGAACTGCACATGCTATAAACATGAACTACATGCGAATTAATCCCGAACTGGGAATGATCGGCATGCTGCCACACTTGAACTAGGCTGGAACTACGGTTGAACTCATCTGGAACAACACTTGAACTACATGTGAACCACACTTGAACTCCGCCTGTACCAGACTCGGGCTGATCAGAGATGTTGCTGGGCGCCCTGTCGGCATCGAGCTTGAATTACACTTACACTATACCTGCATTGCACCCGAACTACACCTGCACTACGCTTGCAGTGCACGTGTACTACATTTTGCACTTGGATGTTCAGCAATGCTGCTGCGCTCCCAAGACGGTGCCGTGCTTGCACTACTTTTTGAAATACTCTCGACCTTCGCCTGAACTGCACCTGGGCTACACTTGCACTGCATTTGAACTACATTCGCAACGGGAGTGATCAGTCATGTTGCTGCTTCCCCAGACCGCACAGCGTTTGAACTACACTTGATGTACACTTGAACTACACCTGAGCTACACCTGAACTGCACTCGAATTAAACTTGCATTTCACCTGCACCAAACCTCAGCTACAGCTGCAATGGGAGTGATCAGCCATGCTGCGGCGTTCCAAGAAGGGCGCAGGGTTTGCGCTACACTTGAAGAACTACACTTGGGCCGCACCTGGACTACACCTGAAGTACGCTCGAATTACATTTGACGTACACTTCATTTGAACGCGAATTACATTTGAATTAGAATTGAGCTACACCCGCAATGGGAGTGATCACCCATGCTGCTGCGCTCCAAGACGGTACATCGCTTTAGTCACACCTGTCATACAGTTCCAGTACGCACATCTGAACTGCAAATGAACTACATTTGAATTGCTCCGGGGCTGCACCTAGACTTCCCTTGAATTACACTTGCGACACTTTCCAACCTCCTCATGCTCAATGGGGTTGATCAGCCGTGCTGCTTCGTTACAAGACGGCACAGAGTTTAAACTACACTTCAACTGCACTGAACTACACTTGAGCTAACTTGAACTACACCTGAATTACACCTGAACTACACCTGAATTACAATTTGGCAACACCCGTGATGAGGATGATCAGCCATGCTGTTGCGCTCCAGGGCTGGCGGCACCGATATTAACGTACACTTGAACTACACCTGAACTGCACCTGAATTACTCCTGGCTTGCACCTGAACTTTAACTGAACTACACGTGGCTTAGAATTGAGCTACACCCACAATTGAGGTGGTCCGCCAGGATGCTGCGTTCCAAGACGGTACAGCGCTTGAGCTACACTTGAACTACATTTGAACACTTGACTTACACCCGAACTACACTACTCGAGCTACACGTAAACTACATCTGAATTGCATTTTGAGTAAGTTTGAATTACACCGGCAGGGAGGGTGAGCCGCCATGCTGCTGTGTTGCCAAGACGGCGCAGTGCTTGAACTACACTTGAACTCCACTTGAATTACACCTGATATACACTTGATCTACACCCGAGCTACACCTGAGTTACGCATGACTTACACTTGACCTACATCCGCGGTTTGAGTGATCAGCCATGCTGTTGCGTTCCAAGTCCGGGCAGGGCTTGAGCTACACTTGATTTGCACTTGAACCACACTTGAACTACACCTGAAGTTCACCTGGGTTACATGAACTGCACTTGAGCTACGCGTGAACCATCTTCGTTTAAATTGAACCACATCCAGAACACACCCGCAATTTGAGTGATCACACCGTCCCGAGCGCGTGCAAATGGGCTTCGAAGGGAGCTGGTGGAAAAGGCAGAGAAGAGACCGTAATCGGACAAGTGGGGTAGCACAGGAGGACTTGCCTTCTCCTGGACACCGTGGCAGGTGTTGTCATCCTGGTGGGACAGAGGGAACTCTGGTCGGTGGCCCCGCGGTCGCCCGAGGGAAGGCCGCGTCGATGGCTGGCGTGTTGCAATGGGAGCGTGGACTGTGGATCGTGACCAATGGTGCGACTGGATCCAGAGTGGCGCTTGGCAGGGGGCTCCAGGTGAGAACGAGGTCGAAATGGCTCGCGGGGAAGGGCCGCGCCGAGTGTCCCGCTTGCCTGGCGAAGGTGCGTCAGGTTTTGTCGAGCCACCGAGCCCTAGCCTGCGCAGCAGGAGCAGGTGCCACTCGGACGGGCCGCGCCGTGAGACTTGGTGCAGCCTGACGAGGGGCACGGAAGGCTGGCAAGCGAAGGCCTCGTGGCTCAGGAGCCCGCCGCGGGGGGAGTCGTTGCCGTCGTTCCCCCTGCCGGTCTTTCACGCGAGCCCGCGCGCGCGCGTTCCCGCGCGCGTGGCTCGAAACATGTCTTGCGAGGACCGCGCGAAGCACGCGGCCGAGAAGCAGTGCGCGCGCCTCTCTTGCACGCGCGTCCATCCACCCAGCCCCACATTCACTTGACGGGGCTAAGTTGCAATGTCGCATGACTTCATGAAGAGCCCCTCCGTCAATCAGATCCTGGAGCAGGGAACCCATGCATTCGGAGACCCGAGCTGTGGATCCAAGGATCACCTGGCAGATCACTGGTTGGATCGCGCGGGGGGCCAGGACTGGAATGCCCCGCGGGGCGTGTGGGTGGCTAGGATGGCGTGCTCGGGTGGGTTCGGCGAGCGGGGGCGGGGCTGGAGCGCTCCGTGGGTCAGAGTGGTATTGGCGGGGGGGGGCCGGTTTACAGTGGGGGCCCGACCACAAGACACCTTCCACAAGAAACCCAACCCTGGGACCCCAGGGCGTCCATTGAATTCTTGGCGTCAGAACGTCACGCTTTCCCACGTAACACCATCGACATCCAAGAAGCCCAGGGCACCCTGGAGGCGAGCAGGTTGTTTCTTGGCATGGGTCTCCACTGTACCCCGCAGAGTTCAGTCGATATCAGATGTGACATTCTCGGGGTCCCTTTTTACCTGAGGCCCACGGCTGAGTACGCAGTCCCGTCGTCACCCACAGGCAATCTGGACAGTCCGCCCACGACTCCTTCGAGCTGCCAGTTTGACCATCGGTGCCGCCAGATCAGGCGACAATGGGTGGCCCCGGCCAATTACCATCGTTGCTCGTCATCCTTCTGCTGATCCTCCTCCTCCTCCTCCTTCTTCTCCTCCTCCTCCTCCTCCTCCCCCTCCTCCTCCTCCTCCTCCTCCTCCTCCTCCTCCTCCTCCTTCTCTTCCATTCGTTCCTCAAGGATCGAGGAAGGTCGCTTTTGGATGTTCCAGGCCGTTCTCGGACCCCCAGGGCCCCAGGGTCATCTGGAGGCCTTTTCGGCGGGAGTGGGGAGAAGACGGATGAGGAGGCGGAGGAGGAGGAGGTGGAGGAGGACGAGGGGTTAGAGACCCAGGCACAGGTTTGCCAGCATCTTTCGTTCCAGTAGGCCGGTTTGGGGCCAAGAAAATTTGGCCTTGGGACAAGGGCCCACCGCGTCGACCAAGCTCTCGTCGCGGGCTCCCCGGGGAGGTGGCCAACGCGTATTACCCCAACTGCGCCAGCAAGTCCGTCAGCGGAGTGACCATGGAGCGGTGCGCCGACGGCAACGTCCGCAGCTCCGATGGCTGCATCAAGGTGCCCCCCCTCGGAGTCGACCTCCTGCCCATCCTCCTCCTCCTGCTCCTCCTCCTCCTTCTATCTCCTCCTCCTCGACCTCCCCCTCCGCCTCCTTCCCAGGTGCAGCTCATCGGAATGGGCGGTCACGTGCGTATCTACGCGTCCGACGGGCACATAGGCCCGTCCTGCTTTTGGAGCAGCTCCCTCCTGCTGCTCCTTCCCCGGTTGCCTGTTCTGTGCTTCCCTTGTCCGTCTCATCCCCGCGCGTCCCTCCGCCAGAGGACAGGGATCTCTTGAAGCTCCCCGCGGGACCTCCAGAGGCTTCTGGAGTCTTTCGGAGGCCAGAGCCCTCGTGAGGGTGCCCCGAAAGTCGAAGGATGTTTCAAAACAGTACGTCGTCGATCCTCGCTCCCCTTCCTCCTCCTCCCTCCTCCTCCTCCTCCTCCTCCTCCTCCTCCTCCTCCTGCGCAGGTCTGCCCTACTCGTGGAGCAGCCACATGACCCGCAAGAGCACGTCGCTGACCGCGAAGAAGGACCAGCAGGTGGTGGTGCCTGGCCGAGGAGGCCCCGATCTGCCGAGAGGGGCGCGGTCGGGGCTGCCGATCCGGCCCGAGGCGTGTCAGATATAGTTCGAGATGTCTACAGACGGTATCTGTACACCATCATTCGGCCACGCGAAGAGGGGGCTACAGTCGAGGCGTTGACCCAAGGAACCCTAAATAAGGAACGAGACCCCTTTCTCCCATAAGTTCAATCTCGATGTCCTATGGGAACCTCAGGAAAACCCAAGGCAAACTCTGAAACAATCAAGGAACACCGAGCCCCTCCCCAGCGAAAAGGGTTCCTTCTTCAGCGCCCCGACTGTAGGGGGGGGGGAAGGCTTCTCAGAAGCACCCGTGCTCCTCAGAAGGCGCGGGGGCCTTCTCTACAGATGTATGGCCGGCGCCTTCTAAGAAGCAGTCTCTTTCTAAGAAGCCGCCCACCCTCCACCCTCCCCCTACCCCTTTCTGCGTGCCGCCAAATCATGCCTGGCCATGGCCATTTTGGGCCCTGGGATGGTGTACGGACCCTCCTTGCCTAGACCAATACGGCGTATTCATTGTGCCAGGGCGCAGGGTGGCCCTGGCCGGAGATGGTGGTTTGCAGGCTCCTTGTGCTTGTAGCAGCTGTGTCATTATCCTTACTCAGGACGCTTCGCGTTCCCCGCATCTTGGGCCTTCATTGGGCCCCTCTTGGGGCCCTCTTGATGGGTTCTCTGGAGGCCATCTTGGGGTGCCTTGGGCCATGTTGAGGCCATCTTGGGTGTTCTCGAGGCCTTTCCCGTGTGCTGGAGCTTCTCTCGAGCGATCGTAGCAGGCATCTTTGGCATCTTGGATGCCACGGAGGGTGGATTTGGAGGCACTGAGGCCCCAGAGGTGCGGTGACGAGCTTGTCCCCCAATCCTCAAGCCCCCCCCACCCACCCACCCCTTGCTTTAGGTCGGGCATGTCCTCCTACAGGCGTATTTTGGGCGGAAAATGAAAAATAGTCCAAGCATGTTTTTAAACAATCAGATATTTTGAAATCATCGTTCCCTGAATATGTTTGACTATTTTCGGAAATTCTTCCTGTAGAGGGACAGGCCCGACTTAACCGTTGCTCGTCCCCCCTCCTCCTCCCTCATCCTTAAACGAGATTTGGGCCCCCGGGGGGAGAAGCGAAGTGGGAGAGGAACAGCCAAAAGTAGTGTATACAACCCCTTTCTGGCCCCCTGGCAAGCGGTGGTCAGCGGATCCGACGTCTGGGGCTTATCCACACTCAGACTTACAAAGACTCTCACAAAGCCTCAGGCGATCGCAAAAATGGATCAAGGGGGCGTGGATTAGCGATGGGTCCCGTTCCATGGGAAATCGAAGATTTCCGCCGCCGAGCGAGGCGGCACTGGCCGCATTTTGGGGAGGGCACCTCCCCGGATCCATGGATTTGGCGACCGCGCGCCAAATCCATGGATTGCTAACCCATGTTTGCGCACCCCCGATCAGACTCTCACACAGTCAGACCCACTCACATTGTGCACTCAGACTCACTCATATCCAGACCCAACCATGTTCATACTCACTCTTTCGTAGATTCACCCATACTCCGACTCCCCCACACTCATACCCGCTCATACTCAGACTCACTCACTATGATACTCACTCATGCACAGGCCCACCTTCACACTTGGTCACTCGCACTCAGGCTTACTCATCGAGTACACAGGCCCGTTCATGTTCAGACACGCTCACACGCAGACACACTCATACCCAGACTCGTTCACATCTATACTCAGACCTACACTGCTATCCACTTGCACTCAGCCTCACTCACGCTCATACTCGTCCACAGTCAGACTCGCTCACATTCAGCCGCTCTATACTCGGTTTCTTTCACAATGCACCCAGAGACTCGCCTATCGTCAGATTTACTCGCACCCATGTGCACTCGTATTCGGGCCCATACGTATGCAGACTCGCTCCCACTTGCAATCGTTCATCGTGACCACTGCGACGCCGCAGACGTCGCACTTGGGCCTCCCGAGGGCTTGTCGACCAGAGTGTTCTGCGGGCCTGTTCGCGACCAGGTACCCCAGAACTCTCTCAAGCAGAATGACATTGTTGGTTTGCTTTTGGACGGGGGTCGACGTTGCGTGCCTCTTCTCAGAGCACCGTGATTCTCGCGATGGAGCACGCATCGCGCTTTCCGCGCTCAGATCGCCTGGACCCTTCACACAACACCGCAGTATGGGGTGTCAACGCGTCTCTGGGGGTGTCGGCCTGAAGCGTTCCAAGGACACCGCCGCGCACATCTTGACGGTACCCCTCGGCAGGAATCCGTGTTTCGAAGGTCAGTGGGTTTCTTTCAGAGCCCCGATCACCGTGATGTAGGCGTCGCGCTACACCCATCAGACCTCTTAAGAACACGCGTAAAAGTTCATGGACTCCAGATTGCGTTTACGAGAATCCAGAATCTGGATCGAGCCTGGGCGTTCTCGTGGAGCTCTTTGTATCGTAGAACTGTCGTATCTCTGGAACCGAGTTGCTGCTTAAGCAAACGCTTGGAGCGGACCGCGTTGTTGGGAAGAAGCGTGCATCTTTCTAGGGTGTCCACGATCATCGCAATGTAGCAGGTATAACGCTTGAGCCTCTGAAGGGTTGTCGACCAGGGGTTCCTCATGGGCCCGTTCAAGCCCAGATGCACTCTGAGACCGAATGTTTTTTTGAGGGAGGGACGTGTCTATTTCGAGAGCCCTATGGTCAGCGCGATTCAGCAAGCATCGCACCTTGGGACTCCGAGCGATGAACACAATGGTCGAGGTCGATAAGTGGATGAAGAGGAGGCGAAGCACGAGGAGGAAGGGAGGACAAGGGAGAGGAGGATAGGACAAGGATAATGATGCCTTGGCCACCCAGTACGGCTTCGCAGGCGAGTTGCCGCTGTTCTGTTATATCTCCGCTGTGAGTTCATCCCATGCTTGTGGCGCCGCGATCACCGCGACGCATGAACAGCACACATCGAACGCGGGATTCCCAAGAGTGAGCCGGGGAGTGGGGAGGCCACCCTCGCCATCCTCCTCAATCATCCATCATATATTTGTCATTCTTCATCATCGGGTCTCCTATGCTCTTCTCTTCCAACCCCCGCCTCGGCCCTTCTCTTCGACGCTCCCCCATCAACCCTCGTCCTCGGCCCCTCTCTGAACCCTTCGCAGCCCAGGAAGGACAACGCCAGAGGAGTGATGCATGCACGGGGGGGTCTCCGTGTCAAATACTTGACTGCCCAGAAGGTTGTTATCGATGTTCGCTCCCGTCTTCTCCTGCAAAAGAACCTTAGACGCGCTAACGGTGTGTTGGCTAACGGCGAAGTAGGAAATCTATGTGTAAGAAGGCGTGGTTCGTGGCTAAACCAATTGTAGGAACGCGTGGTCCGTGGTTTCCTACAACTCGCTGTGTCGTTTTCGTTCGATACATCTGCATTCTTGAAATATTGGGAACGGTTCTTTGTGATTTCCTACATTTTGTTTTGCGTGAGCTCGGTGTCACAAAAAGCAAGATTTCCAATCGCACCGTTAACCAAGCACGCCGTCATCGCGGCCTTTGGAATAAAATCAGTCGACCGATTGGGATTTGCGCGGTTGGACGGGCCCTCGGCCAGCAGGCCGCTCCACGCCTTGGAGCGCGTGTGGCTTGGCCGGGACGGCATCGGACCTGGCCGCCGTGAATCTCACCATCCACCAAACCACCCCAACCCAACCCGAAGACCGCAATTTGCCCTCCAAACACATGGAACCCGTACCCCTCCCAACCCGAAATTCGGGCCAAATTCGGGTCTTCGGGTTGGGCTGGGGTGGTCTGGTGGGTAGTCAGGATCGGCCACGATGAGAGGGGGGGGCGCTCCTGAGGTGCAGAAGATGCCCATCGACCGCTGCAGCCCCTCGGTCACGCTCGCGCCGCTCGCAGAGGTCCCGAAGAACAAGAAGCTCCTGCTGCCAACGAGGGTGATCATGTGCACCAAGCCCGGCCGCGAGCTCCCGGAGGGGTTCACGGAGTTGGTCAAGGATCAAATCAGGTGGACCAGCGGCAAAGTTGTCCCTTTTCCCTTGCTCGTCGTGGCCACGGTACGGCACGGCACGGCACGGTACTGTACGCACGACACGGCAGAGCAGCGCGCTGCGGCCGGTGCGGTACTGCGCGGTACAGCAGCCGCGGCCGGTCCGTTTCGGTCCAGGGTGGTTGCCACGATGTTTCCGCACAGCACGGTCAGAGTGGACCAGTATCCGGTACGGTAGCGGTCGTCATGGTTTTTCGAGCCTCATCCTCCTTCGGGTGGGTTCCGCCATTGCTTCCCCTTGCAATTGCCAAGCTTGTGCCCTGCTGGTGGGGAGAGGGGTTGGTGTATCGCCAGGTGGACGAACCAGGGCTACGCCGGCATGAACGCTTACAACAGAATGTACTTCGACAGCGAGAGGCCGCAGCAGACGGACATGCAGATCGAGTTTGACCTGAAGGCCGTGGAGGTGCAGCGCGACGAGCAGTGCGCCACGCAGACCTTCAGCGACATCAAGAACGCGGCCAAGTTCAACGTGAACGGTAGCGCGTGGATGACCATTGTTCTCGTGGCGGACGACATGACGGGCGTGCTCGGCATGTCGACGTTCCCCACCGAGGCTTAAGTCGGGCATGTCCCTCTACAGGAGGAATATTCGAGAATCTTCAAAACATAGGCAGGGGATGATGTTTCTATTACTATCTGATGTTTTGTTTTGCATTGTTTGGCTATTGATTATTTTTCGTCCAACGTTCCCCTGTAGGAGGACATGCCCGACCTAAACCGAGGCGGAGGAGACCGCCAACAACCTGCTCGTGGCCATCTCCGTGCGCGGCCTGCGCCACTGGCAGAAGTTCAGCAGCGAGAGCTGGGATCCCGCCTACGAGGAGGGGCACACGATGACGCACGAAGTAGGCCTCGGTTTGAATGAAGAGAGATGATGGACGAAATTGGTCCTGGACCTCTTTCGCCAATCGTGGGGCTCTATGGGGCCCTCCGACCGTCAACAATGATCAGGGTGAAGGAGTTGTCCCAGCCCAGGCATCCCGTATCTCGATTTTTTCTGCTGCCTGGAGTTCTCGACCCCTCTCTTAGGACCATTTTTGTCACCCCGAGTTGTTTGTTGATGGCTCCGAGGCCCAGAACTGGCTCCGAGGCCCAGAAGAGGTTGCAAACGGCGACAAACAGGCCGCCCCCACTTTTCCCCGGGCGCCAGATGCCTGGCCCCCCTTTTGTAAACAGGCCACGCGCTCGGCGTCTTCCACACGTTCGAGGCGGGCTGCTCCAAGGAGGGGGACCAGGTCCCCGACACCGTGCCCGAGGCCTACCCGCACTACACGTGCCAGACGGGCAAGTCGTGCGGCGACGACGACGACCCCGTGCACAACTTCATGGACTACGTGCCGGACCTCCGGGGAAACACTTCTTAGAAATGAGAATCAGGAGGAAAGAAACACACAGGCACAATTCATCCTCGATTCCCCAGAAAATATGAGAAAGTATGGGAAGTGGGGGGGAAGACAAACCCAGAACATGTGGGAAAATCTGGGGAATCTTTTTATTTGTGTGTATTTATTTGTGTGTCCTGGGGCCCCTTCATAGAAGGCAGGTTTCGCGCCGCGTCGACGCGCATGCGGCCAAGGCTGGCCCAGCGCGGGCGCTTCCGGTGGAACGCCGCCGGTGACCTGGAATCGGCCAGCATCGAGCGATCCGCTCGATCGGAAAGCCGCGATCGCCCAGGGCCGAAGGATGCACGCCACCACAGAAGCCAGAGCGCCGAAGTCGTCACGGCACGAAGTGGCCGCCATGTTTGCCCTTCCCTCGGTCTAGAGCAGAACCGTTGCTCCCCCAGGACTCGTGCATGGCTGGCTTCACCGAGCACCAGAAGAGGAGGGCTTGGTGCATCATGGAGAAGTACAGGCCTACCATCTTCGCCGCGGCGCTGAGGGATGTCTAGTGTCTAGGGAGTGATTTCCGCCTGCACGATCGCTGCTAGCCCAGCCGCTCGGTAGAGACGCTTGTGCCATTGCCGCATTGTCGTTTGCGGAGAGTTCACACAGCTAGCCCATGCCGAGAATAGTATACAGCCAGCCCGTGCCGACGTCCGTGGGGGTCATCGGCTGGTTCCTCTCAGCCGTCCGGACGTCGTCGCCTGGAGGAGGAAAACAGCAAAAGCAACAGCAAAAGTATCAGCATGCTGACCCTCCCCGCGCCGTGAGAACACCGCAGCGGATTTGGGTTTGATAGGTTTCGGCCTCTGGTGTCCCTTAAGGGGGCCCTGGGACCGTCAACACATAACTGAGGATGAGCAGGCGGTTTCAGGAAAGGGGTCCAGGCCTCTGGGGGACGCCTCCCTGTCCCTCGTCCCCTGTGGATTGACCCTCCTCGGCCGGTCTAGTTGACCCCCGCCCCAAGGCGGCCTACTCCCCACCCCAGGTGATCTCCCCTCTCTAGGCTTTCCCCCCTCCCCCATCGGCGTCACCCCAACATGAATACTTATACTGTATGTTCGCCGCCCCCCCAGGGGCATCGCGCGCACCGAGAAATCTTATAGTATCTGCATCGTGGCGGGCGCTTTCTGGCCGCACCGCTCGGGGAACGATCTACTACAAGATGGGCATACTACTTGTTGGGGTCGGACTTGCGCCTCCAGGGAGAATACCTATATATGTATATATATAGAGAGAGAGAGAGAGACAGATCGTACTCGTATGTCTTTGTCCCCCCTCTCCCCCACCCCCTCTCGGGGAGACCTTCCCCCACCCCCGCCTGATCCCCCCCAGCACACGATGTTGCCTCCTCTCCTCCCTCCTCCCCTCAGCACGGGCCCCCGCGCCTCGAGGCTCTGCCCCTCCACCTCCCTCCCTCCCTCCTCCCTCCCCTCCTCCCTACCCTCCCTCCCTCCCTCCCTCCTCCCCTCCCTCCCCTTCTCCCCTCCCTCCTCCCTCCCCTACTCCCTACCCTCCCTCCCTCCCTCCCCCCTCTTTCACAATTACTCAATATGAAGATACTCTCCCTCTTCCCCTGGTGGCGTCCGGGTGATGGCCGCGCACCCTCCGCGTATTGTTTTTTAAAACACAGGATGCCCGGGAAATCCCGGGAAACGACTCTCGCTGAGGCGCCGGCGTCATTTTTTCCCAAAATGCTGCTCTCGTTGAGGCGAGGGCCTCATTTCTGCTCCCGGATCGTTCCGAATCGTGCTCCCGCTGCAGCGTGGGCCTCATTTTCGGATCGGTGTTTGGCCTCCGTCGTTCAGGATGGCGTTCTCGCCCCAGCGCGGGCCTTTTTCTCGCGCGCCCATCCGCCCGCCACCACCGCGCCGCACCACCACCACCACCACCACCACCACCACCACCACCACCACCACCACCACCACCACCACCACCACCAACCACCACCACCACCACCACCACCACCACCACCACCACCACCACCACCACCACCACCACCACCACCACCACCACCACCACCACCACCACCACCACCACCACCACCACCACCACCACCACCACCACCACCACCACCACCACCACCACCACCACCACCACCACCACCACCACCCCACCACCACCACGACGCACGCACGCACGCACACACGTCACGCACGCCACGCCGCACTCGCGCGCGAGCCACATAGCTACCACGCGTCCGCGGATAGAGAAAATCAGCGCCATGGTAAGGGATGGGAGGGAGGGGTAGGACGTCAGATATGACGCGAGCGCACCTAGCTTGCCTCCCTCCCCTCCCTCCCCTCCCCCCTCCACTGCCTCCTGCCCTCCCCTCGCGGCTCAAGGCCCGTGCCGTGGCCGCAGCCGTGTTGCCCCCTGTGCTCTCTCGGCACAGGCCCAGCGCGTCGCTCGCCGTCGGGCCCCCGCGTCATGCAGGCGTGGAGGCGGAGAGGCAGCGGCTCGCCTCCTCCTCCGCCCTCGCCGCCGAGGCAGCCCGCGGCGCCGCCGCCGCCCCGGAGCTCCTGCGGCTCCTGGGCCTCCTCGTCGTCCGCCGCCGCCGCCCTCGCCTCCTCGGAGTCCTGCCGTGGCGCCGTCCGCTGCGGCTTCGGTTCCGCCGCTCCCGGGTGTTCATCGGGGGTGGACAGAACCCCCAACAGTGACACGTCGATTAGTGAATTGTCCGTTTTCCGTTCTCGAGAGGGCGCCGTGGCCGTTATTTTCCACGCTTGCGCCCGCCAGGTTTGGGCCTCAGGTCGTTTTCACTAAACCACGTTTTACTAAAGGGAGGTCTGTCCATCCCCGAGTTCAGGGGCGCGTGTTCCCCCGCTCCCGCCCGGCGCGCGCGCGACGGGGCCGGCCACGCCACGCGCTCGGGGAGCGCTCTGACCCCTGAGCAGCCCGCCCCATCCTGATTTTCCTCCGGCCGCGTCCCTCCTCCCTCCTCCTGCACGGTCTCTGCCGAGCCGCCGGCGTAAAACAGGCTCCCCGCGCCCGCTGTATATTCCAGTCACGTCTGCAGACTGGCCCCGTGTCGCAGCAGTGGTGGCAGGCGCAGGTCCTGCGACCGAGCAGCCTTCGTCTCTCCCTGTTCGACCTTTGCTGGTGTTTTCGGGGCTGCGTACCCTTTGGCCGTTGAACAGAGGCATTCGTGGATTCCCATATGCCAATCTACTTTCAGCGCCTTCCTACTTCAATGATCGATTGGCTTCACCCTTTCCGTCCTCCTGAGGGGGCGGGCGGACACCCAATCTGTTTCCAACGCCTTCCTACTTCATGCTTCTCCCTGTTTTTGTCGACCGATGGGTACTCAGGAGGCCCGACCAAGGCCATCCGTGTCCCTCTCCCGCCTCCTCTCGACGAGCAGCAGCGCCTGCAGTAGCTGCGCACACGCGCGGCCCCCTTTCGTGCTCGTCGGGCGCGTGCGGCCCCCCTCGCTTGCCCCTGTGGGCCGCCCCCGCGCGCACTCTCCCCATTTGTCAAGGTCCAGGGTGCCAGGCGACGGTGCTCTAGCGCTATTGCTCAAGAGCTGCCTCCTCGTCGCGAGCACTGGTTGCTGGAAGCACAGGTCTCCGACAAAATGCCTGGGCTCACCAGGAGTTGACTGCGGCGGACATCAGCGCGCACCCTTGGGCCAGCACATGCGAAGACGCTGTTCAAGTCGGTTCCCTGCCAGAGCACGATCGTCCGCCACTCCCCCACACGCGATTCGCTCCAGGCAGCGGGCTACGGGCAGCCGCCTCACAAGGACTCATGCAGGGCCGCGGAGGGCTCTTCCGATTCAGTGCAGCCTCCCTGCTGCAGATCGCGCGCGGGTTGGATCTGGCTCGTTTTCCAGAGCCAAAAGCGGATGGTTCCACTGTCATAAGTGAGTGCCCTGCAAGCCGCCCGCATGCTCGCACTGCGGGACTATCACGCACGGTGGCCGGCTTCGCAGCGCCAAGACGCGCAAGGCAACCAAGGGTTTTTTGTGTTGGGTGTGCTGGGTAGCATTTGCTCCCAGCACGAGAAGGTCGGCTGTATTGCTTGTTTCGCTCGCGGGCCACATGCGTATTCCGATATTTCCCCTTGCCAGGAAACTAGACCGCTTGATGATATATTGCCTGCACTAGGCCTTCTTCATCGCTGTCATTCTGTTTGCGGCAGACTGCAGGCATTGCACTCGGTCTGTCCAGGTCCTCTGCTTGTGGGGCGCCCCCAATGGGCCTCTTTCTCTGACGGGCTCCCGCCCAGTCTCCAGCTCTCATCTTGCGGCTCAGCTAGCTAAGTCTGCGTTGGGTGTCTGCGTTCGTTATTTGCCAGTACGCATTCGAATTGTTCGTTCTTGCGCTCGTATCTGCTTAGTTTCTGGCCTCGGCTGCTGTTGGCCTGTCATCAGTGGCGCGAGCGGCAGTCTCCTCAATTATGAATTCAAGCTAAGGGCTGCCAGTCCGCCGTCTCCCCCCTCCGGGTCTCCCCCTTCGCCCCCGTGCGTTTTGGCCTCGCGCCGGTCAAGTCGCGGCCAGGCGTGCTCGTTGGAGCCCGTTGCCTTGCGTCGCTGCGCGGCCCCTCTCAGGTGCTCGTTCCCACTTCAGATTCACTTCATTTGGTTGGTGTTGACTGTTCACCCGCGCATTGCTGAATGACTTGCTCGCTGTGGCTCGATAAAGCACAGTCTCGAGCTCGACGTTCATTCTTCTCCCTCTCTCCTCCCAGCTGATGTGTTCGCGCACGCCCGTTGGGCTTTCGAGCCCCCCATGTTTCCCCGCTCGACATGTGACTTCCCATTCGCTTGACTGTCCAGTTTGGCGCGTGTAGATTTCCATCGCGTCAGTTGCCGCCCTGAGTCCCGGGTGCGCCGTCACATCCTCACTCTTCGTGCCTGCCTGGTGGCTGGCTCCTCTTCTTTCTTTTCGTCACCGTCTTCGGAGGGGGCGCGAGCGGCGTGTCCTCGCGGCAGCAGCGCCGCCCGCCCCTGCCGAGCGAGCGCGCCCTGGCGCGGAGCCGGCGCCTCGCAGACCCTGCGTTCCTGCCCCCTCCCCAGACGTCCGATGTCTTGTGTTTGTTAGAGCTGATTTTTTTGACTCGGACGCAGAAAGCGCTTTATGTGGCTTCCAACCCACCCACCCACCCACCCACCAAGTGGATGACATAACGCCCTCCGCTTCGCCCGCCCCCGCTGCAGCAGCGCCCGCTGTGCGGCACGCAGGCATGCTGTTCGTAGTGCGCGCGCAGCGTGTCATGTTGTCTGCCAGCGAACCCACCCACCCACCCACCCACCCACCCACCCACCCACATAACGCGCGTTGTGCGTTTTCAGAAAAAATGTTGCTCTCTTGCAACACGGGGTCCCCAGAAGTGCCGACCCTTTCCCCCAAGGCGGGCGTCTCATCGCCGAGCCGTGCTGTGGATGGTCCCGTGGAGGCCGAGCGAAGGCCCCCCGCGGCAGAAAAAAATAGGATAGAGCGTGTCCGTCGTGTCTTTGCTGGCCCACTGCGAAGGGGTTGGGGTCCCCCTCTGAGGTCGGACCCGCCGTGCGCTTTGGCTGGTTTCCCTACTTCGAATTCTTTTAGTGTCGGGAGCGCACCCGGGAGGACTCAACCAAGCAGGACGGAGATTCGCGTCTCAGAACAGTAGGGTGGCTATGTCCGCAAACGTCTGGCGGATACAGCAACTGTAAGATAAGTCGTCATCGGAGGAACATGACAAGCAGGGCGGAAATGTCCGCCCTAACTACGACATCGCCCAACGTACTGCGAATCCGAAGTCAGGGTTGCCTCGACGGACCCTTCTCCCAGTTCCCCCCTTTTCCAGGCGCTCTCCTCTGAGGTCAGACTTTGTGGCGAAATGGCAACATGACGAAAAATCGTGACCTGAGCCCTCTAACTTA